CACATTAATAAACAGAACTCCCTTGAGGTAAGCAATGGAAAGATAAATTTTTCTTCCTAATTTTCCTCAATAGTAGCCGGTAGATCATAAGTGAAAAGAGTGCGCTTGTCAAAAGCATGTACTAGTGTGGCAACTCTTTATATCCACTGCCAGTAGCAATAAATAAAGAGGATTGGTGCTCTGATAAATAATTGTTTTTGTTTATACAACAGGTGCCAGGTTCCCAAGTCCCAGGCTGCCAACAAGACCAAGTCGAAAGAGAACATTGTCCTTATCACCTCTGTCTGATCATAGTTTTGACCTTCAGACCATGATCCGCACATCTCCAAACTCCTTGGTCACAATTCTGAATAATTCCCGTAGCAGTTCTTCAGCAAGTGGCTCTTATGGGCATTTATCTGCAAGTGCAATAAGGTAAATCCTGACAAGTTGCAGGAATTTTCAGTATATATCAATCTTGCAAGACTTCATAAATCCTTTTATGAACATGTTTTTATATAACCTTCATTTCAAACAACTGAATCTGGGATTAAGAAATTAATTTCCCCCTCCCCAAGGATATTGCATCGTTTAAGTATCCTTTTTTAGTACAGTATGAGAACAAAAAATAAAAGATCCTGAGCAATCAAAACCATTTAAATGACATGTATTAGGCACAATTTTAGGAGGAGATACAAGGAAGGCAGCATATTCCAAGCATGTCTATTCTGTAGAATATGAAGAATTTGCAAGAGCACTCCAAAACTAAGTGTATGCCATTCAGAATCCCATGAGGAATAGGACTTCTTATGAGAAATATAATTCCTTTGCTATTCTTTCTTGATGACTGGTATTCTGTGACAGGTTGCTTATATGTGAGGCGATATATAGCTATTGGTAGCCTTATCCTTATAGAGTTGACTTGTTCTCTTTTAAAGCCATCTGAGTTAATAACTGTGATCGTTAAGTGGAATCACATTCCATAATCTATGCATTTTGAGAAGTAATTCAGTTCACTATTTTCCAATGTCTCAATTATCTTTTATTTATTTGACTAGGGTTAAATATTGCTACTGATTAAGGGTCCATCTAAAAGTTTTTTGAACTACTGGAATAATGACAGTTCATGAAAGCTATCACTGATGGTTTTAAGGAAAGGCCAATTTCATTACAAGAAGAAATTTTTGGTTATTTCTATTATGATCATGATGAATAACTAATTCCATTCATAAAAGGTTCTAATCTGGGCATAAAAAGGAGACCTGATTAATGGTTTGTTCCTGCCTGCCTCTTTACTGTTACTATTACTTCTGCCCAGTTCAGAACACAAGAAAGCCAAATAGGTGTTACAGGAACTTTAATAGCTGTAATAGAAAAAAATAGGAGAAGGAGCCTCAGGCTCCTGAATGAAAGGCAGGATATAAATAAAGAGTGTGTGTGTGTATGTGTGTCATTTGAATGTTGGGCATCACTACATTTATTTATTTAAATGTTATACTATCAGCAAAGATGGAAATTGTACCAATGAATTATTTCAAAAATAAAAAAATTAAATGAATGGAAAATAAAGCCAGTGTATCAGCAGGTTTTTCTAATATATTAACAGTACTTTCCAAAAGAATTGGACTAGTCACCAGTTTGTTTCCAGACACAATTTAAAGTCTTTACAATTTTGCTTTGTCCCTTGATCTAAGATATGGTGGAAAACAATGTACCCTTTAATTTCTGATATAACATGTGTGGGGGAAAAAATGTTTTGTACAGCTTTTCCCAAACCAAGTAGAAATTTGTATGCCACAATATGAGTGTTGAAGTAAATTGCAAATACATGTAATAGCAATATGTTAAAATGTTTATGTAACTATTGTTTATGTTTAACTATTTCTTAGTTAAAGTATAGTAACTAGAAAGTACAATAATGTGTCACATACATGCTTAAAAGTTGCACCTTCAGCTCATTTTTTATTCCTGGCAACTGCCCCTGCAGTTTTCTAGGCAAGATTTCAGGAGTGGCTAGCCATTGCCTTCTTCATAGGGCTAAGAGAATAACTGGCTCAAAGTCACTCAGCTGGCTTCATACCTAAAGTGGTACTAGAACTCACAGTCTCCCAGTTTTTAGTCTAATGCTTTAACCACTGCAGCAAACTGACTCTGTGCATACATGCTTACAGTTTATAATATAAACTCACTAGTCACTAATAACTGCAATCAATATTTTGTAAGCATTTAAAATTGTTTCGGGGGGGGATTTGATGTTGAAATGAAAGAACATTTTTAAAAAAGAAAGAAAAACATTATACAGTAAACATTTAGGTAGCCCCCTCTCTTCCCCCTCCCGCCAGTCTTTCCTTTTTTTCTGGATGTATTCTATACTTATTTAAATTTTAATTATTAGTATTTAAAAAAATAAATAAAGATAAGAATGAAAGTGAACCTTGAGTGGCCCAAAACACAACAGATATTAAACAAACTTGTTTTAGAGGGAAGAGGGAAATTAACAAACTGTTTTTCAAAGAGGAAAGGGGCACTCCTTTGTGCTCAGGAAGCTCTGGGCTCATGCCCGCCGGGTTTCTAGCTGGGCCAGATCCATTGCCACTTAGCTGCAACTGCAAGGCTGGGAAAGGATTGTCTGCCTGCTTTCCCCAGGGCTGCTCCTCAGTCTGCGCCATAGCAACACCGGGCGACCCTTGCTGCTGTAGTTAAGGACTTGTGCAGGACTTCTTACGGGTCACGAGCCTGGAGTTTCATGGTGCCTAAATTTATTATTATTAATTGCAGATAACTTAATTATGTCAGTGCTCGGCTTTTTACCTTTTCACTGGTTTGATGAGTAGTGTCCACACGTATGCATGCACACCTTAGAGCAGTGTTTCTCAATCTTGGCAATTTGAAGACGTGTGGACTTTAACTCCCAGAATTAGAATAAATCTCGAAGCAATTTCAGCTATGGTGGAGGCACTTTGGTTTAGACACCTGTACTATCAAACTTTTCATCTCAGAAGGCTACGATCTTATCCTTTCTGGTGATTTTCCATGAGAACCTCTTCATTACACAGACTGTAAATTTTACTTGAAGATGTTATCTGTTTTCTCCCTTGTTCTTTTTATTGCATAACTAGAGAATTGTAATTGCTTTTAGTTTTCTGGGTTTTTTTTTAACATTATTTAAAATTTATGTTGTTTTTAATTGTTGATAGTATGGAGATTATAATTTTTAGAGCAAAGAATTCAAAATGTATCAATACATGCAGGACAAAGAATATATGTTAGAGAGGCAAGATTAGCAGTTGGACCAGTGTTCAGTTATCAGATAAATGATCTGGCTGATCATTTCAGTTTTGAACCTGGGAAGAAGCCTGGTTTATACCATATCTAAGGATCCTGCCACAAATCCCCTTTTAATATCATGCAAGGGAAATGCAGAGATTCACATAAATATTTACTTTCTAGAAATCAAAAACATGACAAAATTGGCAATATGTAAAATCAAGTGTCTTCTGAGGTTTCTTTCAAACTTTAAAAGCATACCTATGCTTTTTTTCCTCTGACACCTGACCTTTTCTTTTGAGCAGCCTACCTGAGCATAAACATGAAATTAATGAAGTCTTATTAATTACAAAGTTTTAGCAGTAACTGATTAGTTTCACCTTTCTTCTTGGTTGAGATTGTTAAACGAGTTGGAAAGGGATTAAGCAGTTGGGGGCCAAAAGGTTGAGGCAAATTTAAACGGAAGGGAAAAGAACTGGAACATCCAAGGATAAAGAGGTTGGATTCAGGCAAAGTAAAAATCAACTTGGTTACCTAAATCAGGTTTCTTTTCATAAATCAAGTGTTTAAGAGTAAAATAAGCTCTTACTGACTTATGGTAAGGAGGGGAGTCAGAGGATAGGCTTTCCATAAAGTCATTAATTTATTGTTCTTGATTATTATTATTTTTTAAGAAAGAATTGTGCAGGAAGATAGTTTCCTGTAAACAATGTTATGCATTATTCCACATATTTGAATTGGATTTCCATGATCTGAGCAAGATACAATCAATGGAACTGCCTTTCAAGTTAATTTTGAACTATCACGCATACATATATACAGTATCTTCCTTAATGGTGAGAAACAATAAAAAGTTAAAAGGACCAACATATTACAGAATGAGCAATATTATCCATTCTTGAGTCTTCTGTATTAATGAAACTATAGCAATAAACCAGGGTGGGAAAAGTGCAGTTCATGCCCTCATGTCAGCATTCCTTTTGTGACACCCAGAAGTTTCCTAACATGGCAAGTGGCCAAGAGTTAAAGAGCAAAGCAACTCTTGAGTTGATAGAATTTGTGCAATCTTTCATTAGACTCAAATATTATTATGGAATTTAGAGGTTTACAGAAAGCATACCTGTCTGTAACTAAAAAGATCTCTGAATATAATTAATAAATAATATTAATTATATGAATATATTAATATTAATATATAATATAAAGTATATGAATATAATTACATTTGAGCACTTCCTATCAGATGCTGCAATGAAATGTATATGACCATTCTCCACCAACCAGAAAAGTAGTAGCCTCCTTGTTCAGAAATAGCCTGCCTGCCAGCACAGTGGAGGAATTGCAGTATCTCTCTGTCTTATTAATCCTGTGCTCTTCCTTTGCATCTTTGATCTATCACACTGGCTAGGAGGGGAACCACAACTCTTGTCACTTTCACCCTAATGTTTATTGTTTCATTAATCAGTAAGTGCTAAAGGGAATGGCATTGCTGCCAGCAAGTGACAGTGGTGACCAGCAGCCAGTAAAATAAGATAGGTGTAGGCAAAGTGATGTCACACCTCCTCACCCACTCCCCACACACAATGTAGTGAAAACAGTCAAAAGGACAGTCACATAAACCTTCTGTTGGCAGAAGCTATAATGCACTAATTTGGGACAGAACCAGCAATGCAGAGATGTCAGAACAGCTCTTTCCCAGTATTTCTGGCTACCACTCTTTCCAGGTAGTGCTGGTATTTAAAGAATGTCTCGTATTCGTTCAGAAATGTATTAAACTCAGATTTAAAACAGAAGTTCTAGTCCAAAAG